TCATTTGAGGCTGGTGCAACCAGACGAGCCGCACAGGTATTGTATCCTCCGAGTGAGACGTATCGAGAATTACATAATTCTCTTACATCCTTTCTGCATTGTAGTGTAGTTTGGTGTATGCTAGCTTAAAGTTGTCGCATGTATGCTTCATTACAGCTTTCTTTGCATGATCATAAGTTATGCTCGGCTCCGTGCATTGTCTTGCATTTTCCCCCTGCCTTCGGGTGCATACCTTGTTTGTCTTGCATGTTTGTCTAAGTCTTCGGCCTTGTCAAAAATGGGTCGTCTCTGGGCTTTGACATTCACTCCCGTCATTGTTATGATTTTCGAGTTCTGTCAAAGAGGGGCAACTGTAGACACCCCATTTTTGACCGTCCTCAAGACTTGGACGTCACCATTTGAACACTCGGTGATCATCCATGTTTGTGTTCGTTTGGAGTTCCCGGAGGTCTCGGCTACGTGCCTTGCCTCAGGATCTCCGAATTCGACCGTCTGGTGTCTGGTTTTGCACCAAACACTTGTGTTTTGCCTTGGAGGGGTAGGGAATGCCTTGTGAGGCATCCCCACTATTTAGTGCCGGTCGGCACTCCCTTTTGCCAAAATGGCATCTTTGGCCGGCCGACTACTGTGCATTTGCTTTTGCAGATATTTTATCACAGCTGTCTTGCATTTGGCTCCCCTCCATACACGTGTATGGAGGGATGACCCTTGTTAGCCTTACCTTGTAAGCTTACAAGATTGACTCCTCTATAAGAGGAGCCCTCCTCTCCCTTGCTTAGGGTTGGACTTTTTAGAGATAAAAAACACAGAGGAGAGCTCTGGTTTTTAGGGTTAGGGTTTGATACATAATTCTATCTCTATACCTCTCTCATTTAGCCTTAGTGTGTGTATTTTGTTCTCACTTTTGCCCACAAGCACCCACCGTTTCACCTTCCTTTGGTTACTGAGTTCTAAGGGGTTGGTTTTGGTGTTTTGGAGCTAGATTCAAGCCAAGGAGGGCTGTTGGAGCACCATTGTTAAAGGGGTCTTCAAGGGTAAGAAACTAGTCCCTTTATTCCCAATTTTTGCATTGTATTTTTACCCATCTTTGAACTGTTTTTGTGCTTAGTGTATAACATAAAAAAGTTCTGTTTTTTAGCCCTCTTGATTGTTTATTAGAGTGTTTTTGTTTGGGTTTGTTTGACCCCTCTTAAGCCTTGTAAGGCTCCTTTTTGTGCTATTTTGTGCAAGTTTCGAGACTTTGGTGTTTGGGTCTCTTCACCACTGAAATCTTGAGGATTTCAGTGCCGAAGATGGTGCCTTGAAGTCTCCAAAAGGGGAGGGCCACCCCCTCTCCTTGTTGTCCTTGAAAAGGACCCTTTTTGGCCTCTTGAGAGAGCATTATGTTAGAGTGTGTATTGATCATGTCTTGGTTGTTTTCCATGCTTATCATGCCATGATATAACCTTGTTGTGTGTTGGTTTTGGTACCCCATGCATGCTTAGCATACCTACCATGTAATGCCTTGTTATTGCCTTAATATGCCTTAGGTTGTTAGCCTTTGCTCTAGCATGTTTTAGGCTTAGTCTTGTGAAGGTTTTGTGCTCATTTTGCCATGCTTTAGGTCTGTCCATAGTTGTTTGGGTCGGCTTTGGCATGTTTAGTATAACCCCTTTGCATTCCGGGTTGTTGGCCTTAAGTATGTGAATGTGTAATATGTGTTGCTTGCACCAAATAATTACAAATAAACAAGAGGAAAGACCTCACCAAATTGATGAACCAAAATCTTCAGAATCAGAGTTGAAGAAGACCCAAAATAATAACTCAAATCAAACTTCGAATCAAGAGCACTAATAGCAACAAACCAAGCACAATCAACCAACCAAATTGATCATCACGGCTACTTCTCCACCAAGCAAAAAAACGGCTGCCTCTTTTCCTTGGAAAAACAATATCAATCATATTTGTGCATCTAGGGTTTTTTTTATCAAACCCTTAGTTGTTTCCAAATTGGATTGGGTCTCCACAAATTAAATATAATATATAAAAATATATTATAATTAATACTAAACCAAATTAAACTCTTTTTCCAAAACCAATTGGGTCCCACACTCCAATAAGGAGGTATACCCAACAATATCATGACGTTGTCCTAACTTTTGTCATTATAGCACAAGTACCTGTTTATTCAATTGGCATGAAAGAGTGAATGGAAAATCATGAGTGAATGGAAAATCATAATTGATTGCAAAATTGGTTGGGCTGAAAGACCACAATTGATCATACAATCGATTAGTAGCCATTGTAAATGAAAGGTGGATTGAACAATTACAATTGAATGTACAATCGATTGATATGGGTTCATATTATTATTATTTAATCGATTGTACCATTCATTAGAATAAGAGAGATTCAATGACCACAATTGGTTGTGAGTTTTTGGAGAGAGAGTCTTCAGTAAAGAAATTTATAACCGGTTGAGAAGGTCCTCAATTTTTCTAATTAAATTATTTAATGGTTCAAATTAAACTTCTTGATATCTATTGGTTAAAAAGTAAGGTGCACATGATGTGCACATTTTGATGATGTACACACCCTAACAGTTCCCATGAATTTATAACAAAAAATATCAATCAATATGTATGACAAAGGTCAATATAAACAGTTCTGAAGATTAATTTGACGACGCTAATGATTTGCTAAACAAAAGTTAACACCTACAATTTATAAAATAGAGACTTGAACTAACTGTTCAATGGGACTTCAGGGATTGTACGAATTCAATATGGGATTTTCTATTGAAAAACTCTACTTACGCTTCGTTTGGGAAGCTAAAAAGTCACACTTTTTTTTACTATTTTAACCACAAAAAACAAAATTGACTTTTTAGCCCAATAAGATAAAATATCACGTCCAACTCATAATTATTACTTTCTTTCTCTCACAAAAAAGTTAAAAAAGCCAAAAAAGCCAAAAGCTCTTCCAAAACCAGACTTTTTAGCCCCAGGCTAAAATAGCCAAAAAAAGAAAAAGGCCAAAATGCCAACCTACTTCCCAAACGAACCCTTACAAAATCAAAATTGGATAAAGCTTTTTACAATGTTCTTAAAATTATTATTATGAATTAAGGCTAATCCATATAGATTTGAAAAACATTGATAAAAAAAACTATAGGTTAATACACTTTTAATTTTTAAGGTAAATCAACTTTGTGCCCTTGAAGTATTGCCAATTCATTTTTTGGCCCTAAACTTTATTTCCCAATTTACTCCTTACACCAGTGAATTTTTTTAGTGTGGTGTCTTTGGAAGATTCTACTTTTAATACAAATTAAAATTTAAAATAAAAATTATTGATAACGAAAATGCATGTTACATAATTTTGAAATCATTAAAGAAAAATGGTAAATTTAATATAATATAGGAGAAATTACGACGGTAATCTCTGTATTTTACTCCTTGTGTCATTTTAGTTTCTGTATTTTCAATTGGTTCAATTTTGATTCTGAATTTATGATTTTGTTTAAATTAATTATTATTCTTAGCATTTTTTTTAATGGAAAACACACACATAAGTGTCATGTGTCATATTTTAAATTGAAATAAAATTTAAAATTAAGGGTCAAAATTGAGCCAATTGAAAGTGTAGGGATTAAAATGACATAAGGGATAAAATATTGGAACCACCGGTGTAATTTGGCTTATAATATATTTTCAAGAAGAATTTTATTATACACACCCCATACCATATGCACCCTTAGTTACGCTATTTTCTTTTTTGGTTATGACCAATTTTCTTCTTTAGTTATGATATCATTTTGAGATTTTGGTTATGAATTTTTTTTTTTTAATTACGACTCAAAAAGTATGAAATTATGTCATTTTCTTCTATTGTTATAAAGTGTATATGGTATACACCCTCAAAGGTTGTGTATTGTAGTCTTTTCCTATTTTCAAAGTTAACATAAATTAGACAAGACGTGTGAAATAAGTTTATAGTCAAATTTATAGACATACACGTAGATATTAGAAATAAACAATAAGAAAAAAATTTAGTAAGATTGAGATTGTAGTAAAAGCAGATCATAGTGCTAATAGAATCGGAATTATAATGTGATTCTATACGATTTTATAACTACAATTATAGTCACTTTAAGATCTTAGGCTTCTTTTGAAAATTGTCAAAAAAGTCAGGTTATTGACATATTTGGGTTATATCATTTTTAAAATTTTGTCATGCCTTTTCGTAATAAATAAAAAAGTTAATTTTTTTTTGCACTTGCCAAGACAACCCTTAATAAATTTCAGATTTTACTGTGATTCGAATCATTTAACCCAACTAAAATTGTAAAATCATAAGATCTTACCATCTAAATTAAGATTCTAATAACCATGAAAAAAATCCTTGTACCTCATTTATCTACTGATTGATTCGACGCCCCATCACCTTGAATTTAATGTGTATTTTTATGTTTGGAAAATTTATGAATCTATGGTGTATTAAGATTCTGATGGATTAAGAATCCAGATTAAGGCCCTATTTGAAAAGTTGAATTTAGGTTAAAATAGTTAATAAAGATAAAATAGATTAAAATAATTAATAAGACAAAATGTCACATCCGAATCATAATCATTTCATTTTGTTTTCACAACCATCAAATCAATTAAAAAAAAAAAAAAAAAAACCAATTATTTTCCTAAACATAACTTTTTTAGACAGGCTAAAATAGTAAAAAAGCCAACTAAAATAACCTATTCCCAAATGGGGCCTAAGACTCTCAGTATACCAAAAATAAATTTAATGTGTATTTTTATATTTGGAAAATTCAAGAATCTAAAAAAATGGGTTAGGTTTTTTAGGTCAATGATCCAAAAATGTATTGCAATAGATTTGTAAGAACTGTTTACATTTAATTATTCAAATATGAAGTATATTAATTTGAAAACTAAATGGATGATGTTTAATGGAATCAAGTTTTTGTGCTTAGTTATGTTTGTAACACCATGCGAATGAACTCACAGGATAAATTGGCTACCATTGAAGAATTGACCATCCGTGGCATGGAGAATCTGATGGAAATTTGGCCTGGGGAACTTGAAGCTAAACTAAGAAAGATGACATTAGCTTGGTGTCATAAGCTCTCAAGTATTCTTTTCCCATCCAATTCAATTAAGGGCATGCAAAATCTTGAAGTACTGGAAGTGAAGGACTGTCGATCAATTGGAGTAGCCTTTGACCTTGAAGGACTTGTTTGGGAAGGCATGTTAGACATGGCACTCCCTTCATTAAAAAAGGTGGAACTACGCCATCTACAAAAGTTGACACATGTTTGGAAGGACAATTCACCAGGAATTCAAGGCTTTCAGAATCTAAGATCCTTAGTAGTAAATGAGTGCGATAGTTTGAGAAATCTATTCTCATACTCTCTAGCCAAACTTCTTGTAAAACTACAAGAAATAGAGGTAACTGAATGTGGTATGATGGAGTCAATCATTGGAAATGAAACAAATGCAGGTGATGTAGTGATAACAAATATGATCATGTTCCCTCAACTGAGTAGTCTCAAACTCAATAATTTGCCAAACCTTACTAGTTTCTGCTTTGAGCCTTGTACGTTTGAGGGATCGTTGTTGAAAACAATAGAAGTAATCAACTGTCCCAAAATGAAGATACTCCCATCAGCATTTCAGCGTAAACTAGACCAACAAAAGGCAGACTTTTCAACCTCATCTCCACACCATCTCTTGGATGGAAAGGTACGTTAATGAGCTTTAAAATATAGCATTCACCGTTAATTAATTATCAATTCTTACAAAGAAAAATTGGTGGCAAATGTGTGTTTTTAAAATAGACCAACCATTTTTTGGGGGTGTCAAACATGACAAATTGAACAGGTTACAATTATGAGATAACTTTTTTTGTTTGGAAGATTTACACGAAAGACCTTACAAAATACACAGTCTGGATATTTCAATAATCTAAATTTTTTATTTTGTAAATTTTGTGCATAAATTATAAAAAACAAATCATATTGATATGATAATCATAATAATGTAATTTTGTCATATTTGTGTTCATAAAAATGAAAGACCTTCCAATTTTTTGAATCCATTTTTTGAAGTCAACGATCATAAAATCATATTGTTTTAATTATCAATTCCATATGATTAATTTTTTTTTTTTTGATGATATATACATAAAGACTTTTATAAGTAAAAAAAATATATATATAAATTACCAAAGTGGACTTGTGATAAAGGTGCCCAGGCCCACCACTCTTTCAAATTTTTTGACAAAGATTTATTAGGATAACAAATTTGTAAACATCAATTCTTGGGGTTCCCTACTTTACTGATGAACAATAAATGGACAAATAGATGGACACGTGGACAAATTGACAAATATGTGAATAAATAGATAGATAGGTAAGAGTTATATGATATTTTAAATTGTTGTTATTTTTGTGGATTAAAAAAATTATATAATTTGAGACAATTGCTCCCAAAATTTTAATTTAAAATTTAAGGAAAAAGAAGCAGACTTAGTTTTAAGGAAAATGCATAGGACCCCCAGTGGGGATGCTGGGGTCCCTTTTGATTGGTCCAAAAAAATAAAAAATAAAAATTTTCTTCCATTGCCAGCCCCCTACGTGGAGGTGGGGGTGCTGGGGGTCACCCCCACTGGGGGTCCCCAGCACGGCTGAAAATTTAAATGATTGACCCGAGTTTTATTTATTAAACTAATATATTGACAATATATGAGATGATAAATTGTGTTAATTCCACACCATGATTTGATCATGATTCCCACTTGATTTGAACGGTTTAAGATGTCCAATTAGTCAATCAATACCCATTCAGTCTAATTTTGTTCATATTTAATTGGTGCTTAATAATAGGATTTATTATTTTGCGTGAGATCATTACACGCAAATTCATTTTCATGCTATGCAGTCCTTTGTGTGGGTAATTTTCTTACCACACTGCCCGCCTAGTAATCAGCTGGAGAGCACCGGCAGAATAGATGACTTCAGTAACCTGTAACAGAAAGAAAAAGGCTCCGGCGGTGGCTCTTCCACCCGGGGGCACTCCGACGATCAAGTCAGTATATCTCTCAAAGATAATCAAGTGCTAAACTTACAAGCTTGAGTATATAACTGCGTACCTTGGACCCATGGGGGTGCCTCTCTTTTATAGTTTACTCAATCCAAGTCCTACTAGAAGCCTGACTTCTATGGACTCCAGTTTTATACTTACTTTGGACTCTTCAAGAGATAAAGATAAACTCCCTAAGAGCTTTATCCTTATCTTGGCTAAGTCTCCTCTTTGTCCTAGGACTCTTGTCCCTTATCCGCTTATCTCGGATTCCGATATCTTCGGAGATAACCTCGGCAACTCCGAGATCACCTCGGCGTAACTACCACGACATGTGGCACCTCGGCTGATACGTCGGCGTCGCCATCCCACGTGTTGGTATCCAAGAAATATGTCCCCACAACTGCCCCCTAGGTTCTATTACGTCGGCATTCTGAGGTGATGGAACCTATATCGATATTTCTTTCTGCATAGTGGCTTAAAAACTGTTAGGCCGAGATAATTCATTTTCAAGCCGATGTGTTCTCTTCGGAGAACAAGAATTCAAATAAACTCCACCACGCGCATGAGCTGTCATGCACATCTAATCGTTCCTTTCACGTGCTTTGTCTTCATTGGCCCGTGTCTGTGATGCGTCTGAAAGCTGTCTTTCACTTGTCTGCGCCGTCTGACGTGTGCATTGCTTCAGGCGTAATAAAAGCCCTGCTTTTTGCCGCCGTTTCAAGTTTTTTTACAAAACTTTTCCTTCTATCTTCTTTTCCTTACTTTATGCATTCGAATTTCTGGTTTTCTCTCTCTCTAAACTTTCTGAAATCCACCATTGTTCTAACTCCAAGCTCTACAACCATCTTCATTCCTCCATTTCAGCGAAGCGTTTGCCGTTCTGCTGTGTCTGCAATCGTTGCCCTACTTCGGCGACTTTCATTCTGGCTCCATTTGTTCTGGTAAGATTCCGTTTCTCTTATTCTCAATTTCTTCTATGCGCTTTTGTTTACTTGCTGCCATTTTTATTTTGTTCAAACCTTGGATTGTTCATCTGGATGTGTCCATTCATGATTTCACTTATCTCTTGAACACTTGCACTATTTCAACACTTTTCTTGCCATAATTCTTGACCTTTCACTTCTGTACCTCTTTCACTTTTGAGAATCATACCTTTGTTCTTGATTCTGAAACGTCATTCTTTGTTTCTTGTTTTCTGTTTTTCCTTTCCAAATCTGTGCCTTTGATCTTGTTCTTCATAGTTCTTAGGCTTGGGATTTGTTTGTAGAACCTTTAATTTAGGGAAAACTGAAACAAACCGTACCAATACTTACCTAGGTTGTTGCCGAGGTTCCAATAACCTTTTAAGAACACTTCCTTTCTGAGGCCTAGCCCTCTGACTTTAGGCCGATGTTATGGGTATGTGGAGACATCGGGTAAATACCCCAACAAAACTCGAATACTTTAGGCAGGAGTTCTCCATCCCAGCCGATGTTCACCTTAGGCTAGCTGGGGATGGTGATTCCATCATGCCCACAGATCATACGATGCCCTTTCCTATTGTAGCCTTTACTAAATGTGGACTCCGGCTTCTACTCAATCCCCTCTTTCGTGAGGTTCTCCACTACCATAGGTTGAACCCCATGCAACTTACCATCAACTCCTATCGAGTGATTAATGGTATCATAGCCCTAACTAGGCAGGAAAATGTTAGGATCACGCTTGCCGATGTACAATATTGTTATACCATGTGCCCCCTTAACCTGAAGGAAAGAGGTTATGTCTACTACCTCAAGCCGAGGTCCACCGAGTTCAAAATTGTAGCCGACCTCCCGGATTCCAACAAGGGAGCTGGGGATGACTTTGTCATTGCTTCGGGAAATTGGGAATTTGGCCCAGATGAAGATGTTCACCTCTACCCTCTTCCTCAAACAGTTAAAGAGGGCAAGGGTAAGAGCCCAATGCCAATACTTAGTTGTTTCTTTTCCAAGTTTCTAAAACTTTGTCTGTTTCTAATGTCTGTTTGTTTGTCCTGCAGATCTTCATCAACCACCAAAAAACTTTCGCCAATCGTACTTCCCAGGAAAAGATTTAAAGAAGCTCTTTGATCTTCCAATCCACAAGTGCAAAGCTCCACTATTACTAAACTTTATTCCGACATACAAATCCACGTTGCCCGACGTCCCGAAGAAAAAGAAGAAGAGCCTCTCTCCACCTTCTGCCACAACTCTTCCCATTACATTATGAGCAGACGAAGGATCCACTTCTGACCCAGTTGATCTGCCATCTACTTCAGCCTCATACTTAGTCCCAATACCAGAAAGAAAACGTCGACGTCGACTTGTCAAGACTGCTGAGATGGGTCGCCCAAAGCCTATTGCTGTAGATCTTTTAGCCGACTTACCTGCCGATGTTAATGCTGTTCCAGCTCAATCCATGCCCCCCACCAAAGCCAAAAAGAATAAAAAAAGGCTCAGCCCAAGGCCAAAGCTGCTGAGGTTGAGGTTGAGGCTGAGGATGCTCTGCCCATCTCTCAATTGGCCGAGAATAGAAAGAATACCTCTACTTCTGCCAAGAGGTCTGCTGAGGCCCAACCATCAGGATCCACTCAATCAAAGAAGCCAAGGTCATCGTCTGCGACGACCTCGGGTTCCAAGAAACCCGATGTCCCCTGGGCCCCAAAGTTGACTTTGAAGGATAGGCCAATTATGTCAACTGAGAGTGCCGACGACATTAATGTCGGTGTCGCCCTCAGTACTGCTCTTCTTCTTCCAAACAATCTGGAGCGAAATGCTGGGTACAGCGAGTATGAAAACTACGCGCTAATGCTCCAACACTCTGTTCAAGTAAGTGTTTCCTGTTTTTACTTTTCTTTCTGCTTCATACTTAGAAGATTTTCTAATACTTCTGTTTTCTTTCAGGCCATCCAGCACGCCCATTCGTTTTCCATGCAATCTTTTGAAAATCGGCAAAGATTGGCCGACATGAAGAGGGAGGTTTCTGCCCTCAAAAAGGAGAACAAAGCTATCCTGACAAAGATGAAGAAGCTGGAAGATCAGGCCGAGGCTGCCACTAAGGCCCAACAGATGGCCGAAGAAAAAGCGGAGTTTGTTGAAGCCATTAAAAAAGTTGCCGAGGCCGAGAAGAAAGATGCCGAGGTAAAAAAGGCTCAAGCCGAAAAAGAGCTTGAGCAGGCCCTGGCCACTAAAAACGCCGAAATTACTGAAGCCGATGAAAAGAAAAAGAGCTCGAGCAGGCCCTGGCCACTAAAAACGCCGAAATTACTGAAGCCGATGAAAAAGCTTACGCCCAAGGGATGGCCGATGTTGCTGAGGACTACAAACTGCAAGTTAGGCAGGCATGCAACAGGGGCTTTTCCCTTGGTTAGATGTCCTTGGCCAAAAAGCTTAATGTTCCTGAAGATTCTCCTCTGCACAAGGCTGAAGCTATTCCTCTGCCATTCCCTCCTCCTGCTCCATCTTCAAGTCAAGCTGAAGATGAGGCAGAATCTGAGGCTGAGGATGAAGATAATAATGAAGATGAGGCCTTGGTGAGGAAATTCAAGGATGCTACTGAGGCCAAATCCCCTCCTTCAACTGAGCAAGTCATGGACTTAACTTTGGATGAAGAGGGTGATGAGGTTGGGGAGGCGCCTATGGAAGCTGTTACAGAGATATTAT